GCGAACTCATGATTAAGCCAAATAGGAAGATGTAAGTGAAGCAATCCTCTGCCTTGGTTCCCCATAGTGCCAAAGTATACCTTTACAGGACCAAGTACACCGCCAAGCATAAAAGATTTCAAGACGCTTTTTATCAAACAATTAAAGAATTTTGCAGCGGCAACTGGATGTGTTGCGATGATTTTGGCACGTTCATAACTAGTGCCCAACGCTTCTGGTAGAATCTTGTCAAGGTCTAGATCGACGTCTGAAAAATAAAGTGCTACTGGACTATGCATGTCAGCTGGATTGATTGTTACAAAAATGCTAGGGAGACCAAGATTAAAACACAAAGAGTGAATTTTTGTACGAAGAGCCGATCGCGAACGAGCTGAACCCATAACATGACCACTAACAACTCTGATGTGCGTCATAAGCGTATATATTCTTTGGTCGGCAGCTTTTGAATGCGTGTCGTTTGAAATATTCACAAGAGCTGTTGCCACACCGACCAAACTTAATGATTCAAGGACTTGTGCGGTTTTTTGAAAGTATGGTCTTGACGGGTGTGGGTGTGCGTGCGAGTATAGTTTATCTGTTACCCACACCCACACCCTTAATCGTAAAACGCTAAGCAAACGTTCACCGTTTTGTATCGTACTACGTGGTAAATAGTCGTCAGTGTTGACGATCTGCGTGCATTCAATTTAGACAATATGTGCTCATGGCCTGCATTAGACATTGCTAAGTAACGAAAATTGTTTACGAAATAGATCTCAGCGACATTGATGACTTCTGCTTCGGATTAGGGATGTCGCACTTACTGGTAAGTGGTAAGTAGTTTGCATTTAATTAGAGACGTGAATAGGAGAGTCGCTTTTTTCGGCTAGTTACCTTATCGCGTAATGGAAACTTCGTCAGACTGATTTTTGGCTCACAAAAAGCTTATTTTAGGAACTTTACCATTATCTATAAAGGTTGATCGCAAGTAAATGGAGTCGAACAATTTGTTTTTAATTGTTTTTTGGCGACCTATCATCCTGGTTTCTCGACAGGAAAAGAGTATTCCAAGCAACGAAAATTTTCTTATAAAGAAAAGTCAGGGTGGGAAACTTCGAGAAATCAATTACAGATTCTGATTCGCCGACTCCACAAGCCTTAGGTCAAGCTCTATGAAAGATTCTTAATTTAGTAAAATAATCATTTTTTGAGCCAAAATCAAGCTAACCATTTTCCGTTACTGATACCGTAGCACGCAACTAGGCAGCAATAGTGACTTCCATATTCTAGTCTCTTATTAAATACAAACCATTTACCACTTACTAGTAACAGTAACAGGAATATGACACCACTACCTACTGAAAAACTACTCAGCAAAAAACTTCATTTGCGGAATTCCCATCGAAATATCTTAAGTACTCATCAAACGTCCAGCTAGATGATATACCATCAAACAGCATAGATTATAATAGAGTAACGCTTGGAAAGGCCATTCCATGAGTTACATCTTCGCAATAAATCATTTGTTGTGTAAACACATGTGTTTGTACCGAAAGACCTTTAAAGGCCTTTCTAAGACGTTTTTCGATCAAAACCTTTCACTCATAGAAAACCCTTTCCAAGTCAACGGATTATAAAAGCATAGGGCACACCAAGTTCTTTTAGCAATTCATAGCGTTCTAATGAACAGCTAGAAGTGAAAAGTTTTGGGGTTGAAAAAGGCGTAGACTTGCATAATATCCTACCCTACTCCGTGAATCATAGTAAACTAAGACTTCGAAAGGCCTTTCAGTAAGTGGCAGCTTTCTAATAGGTGGTTTTTTGTACAAATACATGTTTTAGTATTGAAAGCTCTTTAAAAACATTTCAAATGCCTCTTCGAGCAAATCCTTCCACGAATATAATATCCTGTCGAAGTCAATCGATTATGATAGCATGGGGCATGCAAAATTGTTTTTCCAACTCCAAATATTCTAATAAGAAGTTAGAAGTGAAAAAGATCTAAGATGGAAAATGATCTAGCCCTAAATCACATTCAACTCCTATGCTAGAGTTATACTAGACAAAAGCTTCGAAAGGCTTTTTCCTAAGTCATCTTTCCAATAGGCGATTTTTAGGAATACATGCTAGAATGTCCTTGACGAAATATCCCCGACGTTTCGTCCTTTGAAAAATGTCCGTCGGACGAAATGTCCTGCATATGAAATGTCCCTGAAAAATGGTCTTTAGTGTAATCGTCCTTCAACAAAATGTCCTCTATTATGAAAATGTGCTTTCAGTAAAATATGAGCATCACTCAGTGATAATGTTACTCATGAAGTTTAATTTATAAAAACGGTTAATATTGTATTTTATTTTTCATTTCAAACAAAGGATATGGGTACGGGTGTAAATATGGGGGTGTCGATGGTGGGTGTGGATGTGGAGTGTGGGTGATGGGTGTGGGTGTAGCAGTTACTCTTCTTGAACACAAACCCCCACCGCACATTCACACCCACACCGACCCACACCCCACACCCACACCCACACCCACACCCACGCCACACACCCGATTGTTCATTATTATATGGTGATAATGCCAAATAAAGAACAACATATTTTAATGATTGTTTCATTTTTTCTTCATCTTGTTTTATACGTGGTGTATCATAATAATGTTTATAATGTTGACAAGCATCAAAATAATTTTTATCATGTAAATCCATTTGAATCATTAATTCATAATATTTTAATTTTAAATCCTATATGATAAAAGAAGATCATTTATTGTCAATATATATGTTTACCAGGAAAAACTTAGTATGCAATAGAGATGAGTAAGGATTCGGGTTGTTCGAAAAATGAACCGAATCGAAACCGAGATCGATTTGAAAAGTTGTGAACCGCACCATGTCCATCTTTAGTAGGCAAAACTTGTGTTTTGGGAAGGCATTGGTGTTTCGGTGAACATATTAGATTATTTTTTATTCGAAATCATAAATACAGTTCTCTTTTTAACTGATCTTATCTTTAAGAAAAACTGGGTCTATGAAAATTGGTCAAAAGCTTTCTAATAAAGAAACAAAGGTTTTCGTTAAACGGAAGCTCAAGCTATGAATTACAAAGACGAAACTAAAACTAGGGGCTGATAAACATTCAGACAGATAAGCCGAATAGATCCAAAAAAAGCAACAGTAGTTTATAACCAAGTTCTTCTATTTTTTAATAATGTTGTTCGTCTTCAGAATATGGCTGTAATATCGTCTTGATTCCGATTTCTATTCTTATTACCACCTTTCTCATCAGTCCCAAGATGCAGATTCAAGTTCGAACGTCGGTTTTTGTTTTTTTATTACAAAATATTCGTTTTCTCGAATCGTTTCATTTTTTGTTGAAAAAGAAAGATAAATCTTACATATGAAGATTCGTCTTCAAAAGCTTTTATATTAATTTTTTTTGATATAATTTGTGTTCGAATATAATCATGTTTAGCTAAACATAAACGCATTTGTTCAAGTAAAAATTTAAGTTTTTCACGACGATCCATTGTTCCATAAGTTTCGACCTAAAATAAATCATTAACAAAAAAATTAGCTGATATTTATGAAAGTCAAGGTAAAACAAAAGAAGCAGCTGAAATTTTACAAGAACTTCAAGTAAA